GCAAAAATAATCGGTGACTAGTCGACTATCAAAATAATCGTTTGTGGCAGCCTTACATAGCATTCGCTGTTGCTGTGGCTAATTTTTACATACAACAATGGTGTTGTAGTACCTCGGCATAGTGACAGATCATCACATACAAAGGAGATACGAGGAGATATTCCAAGCCTAAAATAGACCAAGAGGCTGGTGATTTCTCGATTTTGGTTAATTCATTAAACTGGTAACCATTTGTGTGAGTCTGCGCCACAAAGTCAGATAGAGACATGGGTCCAAACTGACTATTAAAAGCTTACCCTACAAAGGGAAGGGTCAAGGACACACGGTCAATTTGCTATAAATTATAAAACGGTGCAAAAATGTGGCCATTTAAGCCATTTTTTGCCTGTAGAGGATGCTTGGCCCTATAAAAAAGTTTGATAACCCCTGATTTAAACGATTGAATAACATCTTTTACTTGTGCGATAACTTTTACAGACAAAAAACCAAACTGCGGCCTCCGCTCCAAGCAACTTAAGTTCCATCTTACTCCATAAATGATTCACTGAACCAACAGCAGCCTTGTCAATATGAAATATTTTCCGACCAGCAAGTTCTAAAGCGTTCCAGATAACACCGCAGTTCATTTTAAGTAAAAGTAGTCCAACAATAGGCATCTTTTAAAAATTTCATTCACATTTCCTTTGGCGTGTTCCTTTTAATTGTTACATGGTCATAAATAAGTTAAAACTAGAGCAAAACAAACCCATCCACACCCACACATATTAAAAAAACTCTCCTAAAACCGCAATGAATGAGCACAAAGCACATCCTATGTAACAGAAGTCTCTTTTCTGCAGCTCCTGCCTTTCATTGGACACAAAGACAGCAGTGTGGGAGACAATGAGATGCAGCCACACCCAGCTCAGTCAGGTAAGACAGACACACAGGCAAATCTCCTGAGACGTGGAACACACTCACATTCAGCCCACGAAAACAAAAACAACAAAGACACGCCCTGCCACTTGGTGTAACATCATAAGATCACATTGTCATGAGTGGCTCTGAAAGGCGGGGGCGCAGACAAAAAGGTATTAAATTTCCTAAAATGATATATCCGACCAACTGGATTACAGAACACTCGACTTTTATGTTTGTTTTAAGGTAAAAAAAAAAAAAAAGCCTTCTGTATTTATTTATAACCTCAGATTTATTGTTAGTACTCAGATTTGACTATTCCATTTCCTGGTACCCGACCTGACGTCATGACTGTGTGCAGCTGCTGATAAACACGTCTTAGATAAGCGGATAAACGGTCAAGCAAATGATTAGTAAAACGTCTCAGTCAATAATAGTTGAGTATTTTGTGATATTTACAGGTACATACAGACATATATATGCCCGTGTTGGTGTTGTTCCTATACCATCATAATAATGTTGGCCCAGGATCAATATTGTAGTTGACCAATAACATTGTCTAAGCATTCAGTATTATAATACTGCAATTAATATTATGAAATTTTTACAATATGTAAAACATCTATGTGTGGGAAAACAGTGTAGACCAAAAAAACCAATCTATATACAAAGTATACTTATAGTCTATATACAAGTAATGACCTCACTATTGATTTATCAGGGGAGGAGAGTCTCATTACCTGAGCGGCAGTGAGTACACGGCAAGCAGCGGAACATCCCGTTGTTGTGCTCTGTGTGGGTCTGTCCATGTTCACATGGAAGACAGATCCCGAGTTCTAGGTCTCTTTCACAGGGCTGATGCACATATGTTCCTGCAAATAAAGGAGAAAACCATCACAAAACTAGCCCAAAACATAAACGCTTTGCACGCCCATATAAACAGCATATTTAGGTTACAAATGATCTTCTTATGGCCTCTGACAGTGGACTCATCTCT